GTTTCCGACATAAAAACTATACAGGGTGAGATGAGAAAAACTACAACCAACTTCAGACTGCTGTCATCTTTAAGCCAGTCGTCCGACAGCTATTAAAATTATTTCAGTGACAGCTCATTATATTGTTTAGAATTCTCCAGAAAAAAAGTTATTCGCGATGGAATTCAAGCGTGATAGTGTGATTTCTTTATATTTGGTTGGAAAAACACAAGTGGCTATCGTTAGATCACTCCTGCATTTAAATGTAAATAAATCTTTTGTGTCTCGTACCATCGCTCGTTACCGTGATAATGGTAGCGTAGGCCGACGTCAAGGAAGTGGACGGAAGAAATCAGCAACATCAGCAGAAATGGTTCGAAAAGTAAAGAAGCGACTTGATCGAAACCCGCGTAGCAGTGGCCGAAAAATGGCTCGTGAGCTGAACATATCGCAATATTCCATTCGGCAAATATTGAAAAATGAGCTCGGGGTAAAACCATTGAAATTTCAAAAAGTGCAAAAACTTACACCGCAACGTAAAGAAAATAGACTCAAAAGAGCTAAAGAGTTGCTTCGTTTGGACGAAAGTGGTGAACTGCCGAATTTGGTTTTCTCCGATGAGAAAACATTCGTTGTCTACCAGATTGTAAACAAACAAAATGATCGTGTTTACTTGCCAAAGAGGTCAGCTGAAAATGTCGCCGGCCATGATGATGGTATGGGCCGCCATAACAGCCGATGGTCGCTCTCCGCTCGTATTAATCGACCGTGGCATCAGAATAAATGCTGAATATTATCGCGAAATATTCTGAGGGGCACGCAAACATTTTGGCCGCAGATCAACAGGACTCAGCACAAAATGAGGTACCTCCCTTCATTTCCAGCGCACAATGACTACAAAAATCTCCGGATACCAATCCCTAGGACTATAGTGTCTGGAGTATTTTGGAAAGCAAGGTTGACACTAAAAAATACCAAAGTGTCGATCACATCAAGCAAACGCTTCGCCGGAAATGAGCCAAAATACCGCAGAGCAACATTCGGGGAGCGTGTGACGGTTTCATTGGCCGTTTGAAGAACATAATTCGTGCCAAAGGTGACCAATCCGAACAAATGTAAACTTATTCTAAAATTTTGTCATATTTCCAACTTTTTTGGTTTCATTGAATAAAATTAAAAAAAAAATGGAAAAATTATGGCGTTTGACTTTGTTGCAGTTTTTCTTATCTCACCCTGTATTCGGTGTACAATAATCAAAATTTTTACCAAAATACTATTTTTGTGGATTTGCGTCTTGGCTGAATTCGGTTGTATGTGCAAAAATCCACTACATTTGGGTTGATATCGATCTTTATGACATTTGGCATAGGTATTTTAAAGGTACATCTGATACCTGTTTTCAAATATCAGTCTTATGGAACTCATTTTACGAATGTCAGGGACTTAAACCCAAAGTCGGATGAAACATCTAAATGGGGGCTATAACTATATCTGAACATATTTTCACCAAATTTGAAGTACTTGCTTCGGGCTAAACCCGTATGTGCCGAATTCCATTCTATTTGGACAAATAATATACGAATTGTGCACAAATCGGACGAAAATATATATGAGAGCCATATATAAATATGAACCGATATTTGAAATATACATTTTAGACCCTATGTCGATTTAATGATGTCCATCCGTCTGGGGAAATCATTCTAGCTTCTGAACGAATTGAAGTAGGTTGATAAATTTTGATAGTTTGGTTGTTTGGTCTGCACGATTTTTGGTATCTAAAATGGGCTATATAGGTCCACGTCTTCGTATAGCCCCATATTACTGTTTCAAATTTCGTATTTGTAGTTCGTAACGGGTATTACAACATATGGCCTATGATAAAATTTGAGTATGCAGTTCCCCGTCTTCGTACAGACCTCAATATAAGTGTAACTCCTTATATTCGGTAGTTTTATGATTTTAAGAGTATTTTTATGGCGATTGAGCGATGTCCGTCCTTCCCTGGAAATCACTCTAGCTTCCAAACGAAATGAAGTAGGTTGATAAAAATTTACTCAAATGTATATTATGTCTGCAGGACTTGTGGTATTGAAAATGGGACACGTTTTAGTATAGCCCCATATAAAGGTACCTCCCGATATTTAGTACTTTGATGATTTAATCGACATTATTCACCGGAATTGTTTCATTTTGGTATTTGAAGTTCGTAATCGATACTACAGACTATGACAGAAAATTGTCTGTGCAGGTTCACTTCTTCGTATAGCCCTCATATAACGGTACCTCCCTAATCGGTATTTTGATGATTTTAGCGACATAATTCACCGGAGTAGTTTTAAATTACGTATTTAGAGTTCGTAATGGGAATTACAGTATGTGACACATAAAGTTTTATGCAGGTCCAGGTCTTCGTATAGGCCTCTTATCAGTACCTCCCTATATTGGGTATTTTGACGATTTTAGGTACAATACTCGCCGAAATTGTTTGCGATAAGACAGAAAATTGTCTGTGCAGGTCCACGTTTTCGTATAGCTCCGATATAACGGTACATACCTATATACGGTATTTTGAAGATGCTACATTATACACGTTTACAATATGTTAATAGCTTATAACAAACAGTTCCTATGTAGGTCCACGTCGTATAGACCCCAATATAATGGCTATATTCGGTATTTTTAAGATTTTAACAAAATTTTTAACGGATTTTATTTTTTGAAAATTTCTAAATCCGTTCAATATGGTGGAGGGTATTCAAAGTTCGGCTCTGCCGAACATACAGCTTTTTTTTACTTTTTCACATTTTTTTTTAGTTTTTTGAAATATTCCAACTTTTTTTCCCAATGGTGGAGAGGGTCCAAAGTTCGGCCTAGCCGAACTTGCAGCTTCTTTACTTGTTAGTAATTAGATTTATTAAAATTCGAATCAAGTCAACGTTTTATTCAAATGTCGTTAATAAAAAAAGGACCACCCATAGATATATTCTGATATGAAATGATATCGATCCATTCCTGCTGGAACCTCTTTGCAAAGATTCAACATCTTGAATAGTTATAACTTTTATAAAATGTATAAATAATTCACGGAAGCACATATCTGTCGGCTGCTATATATGACCGACCGATTATTTTTCAATTTGGTCTTTTTTCAATATTGGTCCTTTAGAGAATATTTTCAAGACAATGTTTTAAGGCTGGTGGTTATAGCTCTAATAGCTCTTCTAAAAGACACTGCAAGAATTCTGCAATCGACTTCTGCAATCCAACCTCTTTTAATTGGTATTAAATAATTTTTTTATTTTAATCTTTTTTTTAAATATGAAACACTGTATTCTATTTCGAGCGTATGCAATATGTGGAAAAAAAGATTGGTTAATATCCCACTAACGTATCTCTCCCTCTCACTCTCTACGTATAAACCACGGTATCAGTTATAGGCTCTTTTCTTATACAATATTAACATTCATTACGTTACGATTGTCTCAGGCATTAAATTCATTCATACCGATTTCGATTCGATTCGGTTTTTATATATTTATTTTAAAATGCATTGCTGAATGACTCGGGTACTGGGTGGCGGAGAGGGAGGGCGGAGGGAAACAATAATCATTCACCACAGTGTTATAACCTGTACCGGCATCACTTATGGCGCTAAAGTCAGCTGCTGTTGCTATAACCACACAATGGAGGTTCATTGATCTGGTTATTTTTGTTGGTGTTTTTTTTTCTTTTGGTTTTTGGTTAATAGCTGACCATTCGTCAGAATAACTGACTGTCAGGTTGGCCGGCCGTCTGACTCACCTCGCATTTCAAGTGGTTAAGTGACTAAGTGACTTTTTGCCGTCCAAACAACCAGCGACCGAACGGCCGTTTAGGTTAATAATGTTGGTTTCTTTACGCTGTGGCTTTACCTGTTTGTTATTGGTTCGGTAAGGTTATGGCTATCAGCGTGAAATTTGTTGCTGCACCAGCCAAACACCAACAACATCGAATGTTGGTGGTAGTGGTGGTGTTGTTGGTGTTTTTGTTATTGGGCATAATTTGCGGTCAATTTCAGATGTAAATTTTGGATTCTGAGTTTGGTTGTGCCTGAGTGGCGGGTTTGAGTTTGTGCTTTTGTGTGCGTTCGGACCTATACCAACAATTAATGGCAGGCGAACAAAATTCAGATGAAAACGAAAGCTTATGCATCATCATTATATTGTTGTTTTTTGCTTTTTTGTTATGGAGTTTTTGTTTTGGGCCTATATTTCAGAATTCAAGTGTCAGCATTGTTGACGCCCTAAATAAAAACATGTCGGAATATTGAATTATTCATAAATACTAAAGATTTTTTGAAACAATAAACAAGCCATGGCATCGTCATCAGATCGATATTGGATCGCAGAATGGAAGACTTATCGATGGCGATTGTAGGTCATTGTGCCACATTGTCTCGGCGGTAGAACACATCAATGCTGGCTGGCCCTTGGTTAAAACCCTGAATTTGATGAGTTTCGAATATTTTTGTTTGTTTTCTTAAAAAAAAAACAACAACAACAAAATGTCACCTTGATATTGAACTTTTTTTCAATGCCACCGAACGCTACGGAGTGCATTTCGGACCATGCTGGTTGTGGTTTCAAGATGCTAAGAAGGCGTGCGTACATGTGCTCGGTTGGCATGCAATTCAGTATTGCTTTGTTTAAAATTCTTTTTCTTTTGGGGGGGTTATTTTCGAAGGCAGAATTCAACGAAACGAAACTTGTTTTTTAACTTATTGCACATCCGTGTAATTTTTTATGTTTTTGGTAATTTTTGTTTTATTGTTAACCACAGTTTTGACAATTGACTTGACTCGCGACTCGACATAATTGAAAAATTCCATTGCCTAAAAAAATTTTCCTTCCATTAAACTCACATCACCGCCGACATCCTGATCACGCATGTGATTTGTTCTCTTTTTTGACATTTTTATTGATTTGTCTTAATCTCTGTTTTATTTGGGGTTTTACATTTTTCTCTCTCTTGTGTTACAGATATTCTAAAATTTGCTGCACTTGGCATGACCTTAAGCATATTGGCGGTGGTAATACTAGTCAGTGATCCAGTGGAATTGGTTGTGGATTCGGTAAGTAAACAATGTGTGTGTTACTCATGCATTATTGGGTTGTTGATCGAACAGTGGTATAAAAGGGTTCTAGGAGTAGGATATGTTAGGTGTGAAACTCACATGTGAGTTACATTTCCATGTAAATTAGATTTGAAGTATTAAAATTAATTGCTTTTAAATAAACATTTTTAAATTTTTACGTAAAAAATCGAGTTCTTCTTCCGACGCTACCCTTAGCTCGTCCAAATATAATCGGTGTTTCAAAAGACATTTTTGAGATATTGCTGATTTTTTGTTCAATTTTTGGAAAGCATTCCTTAACGCTCTGACTAGGTGATATTAATGTTGTTTAAGAACTTTGTAGCCATGAATGCCATTTTTTGGTGAGACAAAACATGTCTTGAAAGAAGCACATCGTAAGATGTTTTAACTTTTTCTTTCTTCTCAATTGAAGTTCAAACTTTCGACTAAAAAGTACCAGAATGAAACAACGCCAGGTGAAACGGCTGAAGCTAGAATCATGTGGGCCAATGTTGGTGTGTATAGGTGAGACAAGGCTGGGTTTTTGAAAATTCGAATTACAAGAGTACTGAAAAGTGCTAAGAATTTAATCCATAGTACTGGAATTCTGACATGGGGTGTAGGATATATGTGCCAGAGTAAAATTTTAAAAATTCGAACCTTTTTTACAAAAAAAAAAAAAAAAAAACACTGAATTTGGTACCACTTCGTATTAAGTGAAGGGATCATGGAATTTGGTATATTAATTATGATTTATAAGTAGGATTGATAAATGGAGGTATTTTTGGAAATGTATACCAAATGTAAGAGCTATACTAAATTGTGGCTAATTTGGTATAATTTGGTTTTGGGGGAACGGAAATGGAAATTTTAAATGTTGGTATTGTGGCCAAAACTGGTAGGTAGGGTTGAAAGAAGGAGGGGAATTTGGAAATGCATGAAACACGTATAGGTACTAAATTGACTATTGTGTGAACAGATAGCGAATGAAATCTGAAATTTAAAAAGGGTTTAGGCAAATAGGCAAATAGAAATTTTGAAATCAGGTTTAAAGAGAAGGAATGATATAAGAAGGTGGTTTTAGAAATGTGTAATAAGTGCAAGTGCTGTACTAAATGGTACTAAATTTGGATGAAACAGAAATTTTAAAATATGGGTATTGGGCTCATTGCTGACGGGTAGGTGTAAGAAAAAAAAGCTATTCCGAAAATACGTTCAGTAGGAATACGAAAAGTCAGTCTTCAAATTACACACATAACAATATTTTTACTAACCCAAGGTCTGGTGTAAAGGCGGAATATATCGGCCAACTTCTTCAGGTTATTCGTGGTGGAATTCAAGCGTGATTGTGTGATTTCTTTATATTTGGCTGGAAAACCACAAGTGGCTATCGTTAGAGTACTCCAGCATTTAAATACGAATTAATGTTTTGTGTCTCGTACCATCCCTCGTTACCGTGATACTGGTAGCGTAGCCCGACGTCAAGGAAGTGGACGGAAGAAAACAGTAACATCAGCAGAAATAGTTAGAAAGTTAAGAAGAAGCGACTTGATCGAAACCTGCGTCGCAGTGGCCGTGAACTGAATATATCGCAATATTCCATTCGGCAAATATTGAAAAATGAGCTCGGGGTAAAGCCATTGAAATTGAAAAAGTGCAAGAACTTACACCGCAACAGAAAGAAAATAGACTCAAATGGTGGGGGCCGCCATAACAGCCGATGGTCGCTCTCCGCTCGTATTAATCGACCGTGGCATCAGAAAAAATGCCGAATATCATCCCGAAAATGTTCTGGAGAGTGTATTAAAGCCTTGGTCATGCAAAAATTTTGGCTGCAGATCTTGGACATTCCAACAGGACTCAGCACCATCGCACTTATTACGCGCCACCCAAGAATAGTTACAAAATGAGGTTCCGCGAGATTCCACCAAAATCTCCGGATACTAATTCGTTGGACTATTGTGTCTGGAGTATTTTGGAAAGCAAATTTGGCACTAAAAAAACCGAAGTGTCGATCACCTCAAGCAAGCGCTTCGCCAGGAATCGGCCAAAATACCGCAGAGTGACGGTTTCATTGGCCGTTTGAAGGCCATAATTCGTGCCAAATGTGACCAATTCGAACAAATCGAAACTTATTCCAAAATTTGATGCTATTTCCGACATTTTTTGCTATCATTCAATAAAATTAAAAAAAAGCATTAAAGATTATGGAGCTTGAGTTTGTTGCAGTTTTTTTATCTCACCCCGTGTAGTCCAAACCTTGCACTTAGCAATATATATGTCACATTTATTTAGGTCCGATACGAAGTGGACAATAATGGCCCATTCCTTTTGGAGCCTACTCCATAGAGGGTCAACAATTTGAATAATCATAACAGAAGTCAAGATATATTTAAATAATCGAACATTGGCTGGGGGTAAACATGTTTCGGTTAAATCGACTGATACATTTTTTAAAATATTTCCGTTGAAATTGTAAGGAATCCATGAAATTAATTATATGGTTTCTTCGGTATTATTATTGAAACAATTTTTTGTGAAACTAATTAACTTTCGGTTGAACCATTAAAAGGGGTCTTTTGGGCCCTTTTCTTTAAAAACTTTCAAAAACTCTATTAAGATGTGATGGAATAAGATCAACACTCTAAGTTCTACTGGTTCATCATAGAATTCTAATGTGGGTCCCAGAATACACCAAAACCTGAAAGATAAAAATTGATAAAAACACGTTTAAGATTTAAAGTCGCGCTACTTCCGAGGTTATGAAAACTGTTTCCACGGTAAATAATTTTAGGGGAAAGGCAAAACAAAAAGACATAAAATCTATCAAATCAATTTTGTCGAATGGAAGGTTTTTTTCGCCCTACTTGATTGTCCACTCGGATACACCTGTTTCATATTTTTTTGCTCTTCCCTGTATTTTTATGATACACAGTGTTATGGTATTCTGAAGATGCTGGTGAGATTTGCGCCGAATGTGCTTTACTTTTATGCTTGGGATTCGATACGGAAAGAAGCTAGGTCGAATTAAAACTCGATTTTGCATGTTCTGTAGAAATACGGAATCATGGTGGTGGAATTGGCAAATATCTAATTCCCGGTTTCATTTTATTCACTCCTTTTTCCTTAGTAACCACTGTTCGCCATCAATCTTCACAATTCATGTTACGACAAATTACTCATGTCATTACCTATGTTCCTGCCACGGCAATTAATTATACATTGTTCTTCTGTTGTTAACCACAATCTACCTATCGTTACAGCAATTGACACTAAGAACCGGTTCCCTGCTATTTAACCTATGGAAGAAACCACCGCTGGAGGTCTTCATGAAAGTCTACATGTTCAATGTGACCAATTTGGATGAGTATGTGCGTGGCATCGATGCCAAGTTGCGCGTCACCGAAGTGGGTCCCTATGTGTATCAGGAAATTCTGACAAATCACAATGTGACCTTCAATGACAATGACACCATAACCTTTATGCCCAGACGGGAAGTAAAGTTCATACGTGAGAAATCAATTGGTGATCCCAAGGATGATCACATCATAGCACCGAATATCCCATACATGGGTGCATCATCGGCAGCCACATCGCTGTCGACCTTTGCTGCATTGGGTGTGAGCGCATTGACACGCCAAATGAAATCGAAACCGATGCTCAGGATGTCCGTCTACGAATATTTGTGGGGCTATGAGGATAACCTCGTTGAGTTGGCATCAAGATTTGTACCGAATTTCATTAATTTCCGAAGATTTGGAATATTGGAGCGAATATTCGATGAGGGTGAGAATACGGTGACAATGAAATTGCCATCGAAGAGTAAAAAAACAAAAAGTCCCGGCGAATTGAGAGATTATGCTTTGGACACATGGAATGGAGGTGTGGACATTAAGTATTGGAGCAAGAATAGGGGAAAGTAAGTGAAAGAGAGAGAGAGAGAGATAATTTTGTAAATGATGAGAATTTTGATTGTTTTTTTTATTTTAGTATCACCAATTGCAATAGTATCCATGGCACCTACGATGGCACCTTGTTCCCACGCCAGATTACCAAGGGTGAAACATTCCGCATCTATCGCAAGGCCTTCTGTCGTGCCCTACCCATTGTCTACTCTCATCCGGGTAAAATTGACGGTATTGAGGCCTATCATTTTAAGCTCCATGAAAATGCCTTCGACAGTGATTTTACAGATCCGGATACCTCTTGCTATTGTAGCTATAAAAAATGTTTGAAAAAGGGTTTGGGCAATGTAACACCCTGCTATTACAGTAAGTATTTTGGGAGGATATATATTTTGAAAAATATTTAAAATTAAATGTTTTTATTACAGACATTCCCTTGGCCATATCTTTCCCTCATTTCTTCAACGCCGATCCCAGTTTATTAAATGGCGTTGATGGTTTGAGTCCCAATGAATCGAAACATGGCTCGGAAGTGGCCATTCAACCGGTAATTATAATTCTTTTCAATTTTTTTACTTATTCTAAATACAGCTCTCATTTTAAATTATATTTTGAATAGAAATAAAATTTAAATGTTTCCTATTTATTTTTAGCAATTGGGCATTCCCATGCGAGTATATTCACGCTTTCAAGTTAATCTGATGGTTGATGACGTCAAATTCAATAGAGAAATGTACAAATTTCGTAATACCGTTTTTCCTTTGCTCTGGTTGGAATTTGTAAGTATTAGATTCAGAAATTTATTTTTTTTAATTTATTGAAAATATCAAAAACAAAAAAAAAAAAAAAAAATGAACCAGTAAGGAAATGTCAAAAGTCGGGCGAGGCCGACTATATGATACCCTACACCACCTTGTGTATTTAGTAGAGCTCCGTAACCAAAGAATTTATCTGAAGTAGATCATACTAACCATAAACATTTGGTTTTAGAGCAGTTCAAGTTTGGTTTCAAACGGAACTAATATATGGGAGACATATCCAATTCTGAATCGATTTTCACTCGTTTTTCGGTTGGATGTGCCAAAATTCATGTCATTTGGACTGATATTGACCATTTGGTGCACAATTAACCCGAATCTGAACCAATCTTGATACAATTGGGCAGAGGTATTTCTGGGCTGCATCTTATATCTGATATCAAACATCATTTTCGTGGGGTGCATATTACGTATGTGGGGGACTTAAACACGAATTCGGATGAAGCCTATACAGGATGAGATTAAAAAACTGCAGCCAACTTCTGACTGCTGTCATTTTGTAAGCCACCCGAATTTTGGTATATTCGACGGAATTCAGTCTAGATCCAAGTACATCAAATTCGGAAATAATCGGTTCAGATATAGCTACAGCTTCCATATATAGGGTGAGATAAAAAAACTGCAACAAAGTCAAACGCCATAATTTTTACTATGGAGGGTATATTAACTTTGTCATTCCATTTGTAACTCCTTGAAATACTCATGTCAGACCCACCAAAGTATATTTATCCTTGATCAGCGTGAAATTCTAGGTCGATTTATCTATATCTGTCTGTCTGTCTGTCAATTCGTCTGCCGTAATCACGCAATCTTTTGAACGAATTGAGATAGAATGCCAAAGTTTGCACACATGTTTTTTTTTCCAGTAGGCAGGTTAAGTTCGAAAATGAACCATGTAGGTCCACGTTTTCATATAGCCCCTATATAACGGTACCTCCCGATATTCGATATTTTGACATTATTTACCGGAATAATTTGAAATTCGGTGTTTAAAGTTCGTAATGGATATTACGGCCTATGACAGCCTATGCCTGTACACGTCCGCGTCTTCGTATAGCCTCCATATAACGGCACCTCCTGATATTCGGTATTTTTATGATTTTAGCGACATTAATCACCGGAATTGTTTTAAATTTAGTATTTAAAGTTCGTAATGGATACTACAGCCTATGATAGGAAATTGTCGGTGCAGCTCCATGTTTTGGTGTAGCTCCCATATAATAGTACCTCCCTATATTCAGTATTTTGATGATTTTAGCGACATTATTTAGCGATTGTTTTAAGTTTCGTAGTTGAATATTGTGATGGCTTATGACAAAAGTTGCCAATGCAGGTCCACGTCGTCGTATAGACCCTAATATAATGGCTACATTCGGTATTTTTAAGATTTTAGCAGACTTTTTAACGGATTTTATTTTTTTGAAAATTGGCAAATTCGCTCAAATGGTGGATGGTATTCAAAGTTCGGCCCGGTGGAACTTACGGCTTTCTGGCGATCTCAAGAATCCATAAATATGACCTTCTTGGTTCTTAGAAAGAGGGTTCACTTAGATGTTCTTAATGAACCAAAATTATGACCTTTATGGTTCACATGAAAGAAAGATCTAAAGAAATATTCTCAAGAAATTACGAATATGGCTCTAATGGTTCCTGAAATGAAGGTTCTCAAGAAGCACCGGATATGATTCCCTAACAAAAAGCTAAATTGGTCCTGATGGTGCTCGGAAAAAAAGTTTTTCATAAACAGCGAATATGACCCAATTTTTTTTTTGAAAGTTATTCTAAAGAAATCACGAATACGGCACTAATGGTTTCCTGGAAGAGGGTTCTCAACAAACCACGAATATGGTCCTGATGGATTCTGAGATAAAGGTTATTTCTCATATATATCATTTATAAATCCACAAATGTTGACCCCATAGTTCTTGAAACAAATGTTCATAGAAAACGATTTTACAAAAATTCACGAATATAGCACCGATAGGTTTTAAAAAAAGTTTCATAGAAATTCACGAATTTTTCTCTGGTATTTCTTTAAAGATAACTTAAAGATGTGTAAAGGAGCTTTGAAACAAATTATTCAAATTCTATAAATATGCTCTGAATATTTTAAAGCAAATCTTAAAAATGCGGACACATAGACCCACGCAAACATTTCCTTAGCTCTCATAAACCTTAAAAAATGTTTCAAAAATCATCTCTAGTCCTTGAAAAACGCTTTTTAAAGATCGACGAAAATATATCCAATGATCCTAGGAACAAAGACTTTTTTAAGAATCCAAAACATGATATTTAGAAAAAATTGAAAATTCAAAAGTACAATCCTGATAGTTGTTTGAAAAATATGTTATTGAAAGTCCAATGATGAAGCCTTAATATTTCTAAAAGTATCCAAAATATTAAAAATATCTATAAAAATTCACGGTTAAAGATATTCCTTGGAGATTTAGTATTTTTTGATGATTTTAGCCACATTTTTCAATGGAATTGTCTGAAATTCTACACGAGGAGTTCTTTGTGAGTACTTTACCCCCTGAAAGAGAATTGCCTATATAGGTACATGATATCGTATAGCCCATATATAACGGGACCCCACTTTATTCGGTATTTTGTGATTTCAGCCACATTTGCCAACGGAATTGTCTGAAAATTCCCTTGAAGAGAATTCTCTATATAGGTCCACGATATCGTATACCCCCATACAACGGTACCCCCGGATATTCGGTATTTTCATGAGGAAGCTCGAGGAAATCTGGACCTGTGTAGACAATTGTCTGCCAATTGACGGAATTTTAAACAATTTCGTTGAGACATAGAGGCTAAAGGAAAAGGAGTTTTTATTTGTGGCAGTGCTTGGTATCTGTTACATATTTTAGACACTTTCTTCAGAAAATGTGTCTAAAATCGTAAAAATACCGAATATCGGGAGGATTATATTAGGCTATAGTAAAACGTTGCCCTCCATCGCCCATTTACAAACTTGACCTGTCTACTGGAAAAATAGGCATACGTGCAAAATTATAGCCTTCCATCTGAATGAAGTTGAAAATCTGAATGTGGTTGGAAAACACTTTCTTTAAAATCCACACCATACCCTTAATCTTTCTTGAAATGTTTTAAAAATCCTCGAATTTAGCTCTGTAAATCCATGAATACTAACCTGATAGTCCTTGTCAACAATATTCCTAAAAATACTCTCAAAACAAAATAAAACAATTGAGCTCTAATAATCCTTGGAAGAATATTAAATTATTTTTTCTATTTTGTCTTTTCAGGGCGTCGAAGAACTAACACCCGAATTGAAAGTCCTGCTGCAAATACTCTTCAAAGTTTGTCCTTATTTACAAAATGGCATTATTATTGCCTTATTTATTGCCGGACTGGCACTCTTGGGTACATCGCTGTTCAAGTGTTTTCGGATACCGACCTCGACGATAACATCCACAGCTGCCATTGTCGCGACCAGTATTATACCGGCCGGAACGAACAATAGCAGTTGCAACAAAATGCTAGCTCTTGCCGAAGAAACTAAAAAGAAAGCCCGTCGACTTAGTAAGGCGCATGTGGCGTTTGCACCACTGGTACCGTTGGTGCCACAAGTGGCTGGTGAAATGCCGGATGCTGAGGAGCAGGAGCAACTACTGGAAATGGAGCTAGAGTTGGGGGAGCAGCAAGAACTGCTCGATATGGAGATGGAATTGGAATTAGAGAAGCAACAAAAGCAGAGTAGTACCTTTGTATTGCCTGAGTATAGGAAACAATAAGCGAGAGCTGTGTCTGCCAATGCCATTCATCTGTGCATTCTCCATCTCCCCCCCCATTCCATATACTCCAATACCTTCATACTCAATTGATGCTCATCATCCTGTGTTCATTTTTGGTTGCAGTTACATGGCTTTGTCCAAAATCATCCTCGCCATCCTCATCGCAATAGTTTTACAAAACAAAAAAACGCTCTTAGTCTTAGCTTTTGTGTAGTAGTATCTTTAGGTTTTCGTTTTCGTTAGCTTAGTTCTGTGTAGTGGGAAAGACGTAGAAAAGTATTTATGGCTGTGATAATAAATTTAAGTTAAGTTTTCTTTTATTGTTCTTTGAAAAAGGGATTATTTTATTTGAGTTTATTTTGTATCTCCGTCTATCTATCTAGCTTTTTTCATTCATTCATATTTTTTTGTGTATGCTTACAAAATAGTGGGGTATTTAATATATATAAAAAAACAAAAACAATACAAACAAAAAACAATTAAAATAAATTAAAAAAAAACAACAATGTAAAACTACATTAATTATAACAAATAGTCAAGTAATTATTTTAAGCTACGCATACGATTTTTTATACGAAGAAAAATAAATAATTAAAAAAAAAAAACAGTAAAAAAATGAAACAAACATTAAATTTCAACATTGTACTTTTGGTGTTAGAATTCACATTAACTGAGTTCGAAACTTGTGGTGCATTTACAAAATGCAGGTATTTTAGAATTTTTTTAAATGTTAATTTCTTATTTTTTTATCTAGCTTACTCAAAAGCTATTGTATCCTGAATCCATTTCATATAGTGTGATATTCTGGTATACACATCGGGATATCCTTCAATGGAACAGCCGGAACCAAACGAGGTTATACCAGCCAATATCCATGGCCCGGTTTTTGTAAGGCGACACTGCAAGGGGCCTCCAGAATCACCCTAAAAACAAATATTTAATAATTTTGTAATGAGTAATAAATATAAACAAGAAAAAAACTGTAAGTTCGGCCGGACCGAACTTTTAATAGCCTCCACCATTTGGAACGAATTTGGCAATTCTCAAAAACAATAAAATCCGTTAAAAATTCGGTTAAAATTTAAAAAAAAAAAAACGAATGTAGCTGTTACATTAGGGTCTATACGACGACATGCACCTGCATAGGTAACTTTTGTCATAAGCAAGTACAATATTCAAATGCGAAACTTAACAAAAAAAAAAAAAAAAAACAAAAAAAAAAAATCGGTGAATAATTTAGCTAAAATCATCAAAGTACTGAATATCGGGAGGTACCGTTATATGGGGGCTATACCAAAACGTGGACCTATTTAATGGGCCATTTACAATACTAAAAGTCCTGCAAACATAATATACATTTGAGTAAAATGTTATTAAACTTTATAGTAAAATCTGGGTTTTCGAAATTTGCACCAAACAGGCTCTCGGCATATTGTTACATCACGGGATTTAAAATCGTTTCAAAAGGCATAATTCTTGCAAAATATATATAAAAAACATGTAAGCAAAGGCTATAGTCGTGTGGGGCCGACCATGTGATAACCTACAACACTAAAATATGTTAGAAGCCCCCTTATGTCTCAATCCATTTTGGAAGATTTCGCTTTTGAAATTATATCACGGAGCACTGCCCATATATTACCCTTTGCATTTTGACCAGGGACATTTTCCCAATATTTACGCACTCCGTCGTGCTGTTAGTTGTTGCGGTCCATTTTACAACTTATGGTCATCCAAAATGCTAGATTTCTTCCCCGTCCTTAGCTCTCTTCTCAGGCGTGTCGATTGGCTTCAATAGTGTGATCAGGATTTTTTTCTTCTGTTTTTGGTTCATTTGAAGCCCTAAATATTTTGCAATCATCTCCAAAGCAAGAGGCCCCTCTGTATCTACAAATTTAGACTCATGTATATGATTTGCTTGTCTACGATATATTCGTCAACGAAATAAGCAATAAAAAAGCTAGAATTTTTTCACGCAAAAGTGTAGTCCGATATTTCGTGTCCTTTTATTTCTATTTGCGACCTTTATAACGGCTCCAAAATCATTTCTACCCCTGAATATATTGCGGACATCTTTAAAAACAAAAGGCCTAACACAACGCAGTCCTTGTAAAAATTTCCGTGTGTTGTAAGGTGAAAAAATATTACAAAATATACACTTTAATATTATAAGTCAATTTGAAAATATCGCATGCGATAAAAAATATGAAAAATGTCATAAAATACTACATAATCTATGTTAACATAATTATTGGCATCTTTTTATGCGGTTTTTAAGATTTCATTCTTTTATGCCAAGAGGATTGAATTGACAAAATTTGTAAAAATCGGTCCAGTCATTCTTGAGATATAAGCATTCTAGCTAACATCCCCTTCCTTTGTATATATACATTTAATATATTTCGCTATACATATCCGATATATTTACTATCGGCACCTATGTAACTGTCAGAATTGACCTGTTCGTCTATTTGTGATTTCGCCAGGATTAAAAATATTCGCGGTTTGATGGAAAATTTGACTTTTGTTTGGCACAAATGTTATGGTCTATTTCACACACTAAATATTGCCCGATGATCATCAAAACTGGAAGGATTCTGCCCAGCCCTAAGCTCTAGCCCCATGCTAACATTCGGGTCGATTGGTCTATAATTGCGTCCTGAAGAGCAACTGCAAAATCAGGAAAGTTTTTGGTCCATTTTCGAGGTGTTACATAATTTTTGGCCCAATCAAACTTATAATACCCCCAACACAAAGTATTGTAGGGTATAAAAACAGTGGCCCAGATCGAGACTTTTTTAATCATATTCTGTATAATCGTTTCTAAAAACACACAACAAACTAAAATGCTTCGGAAAGTTTTTTTTTTAAGAGTTAAGGATTTAAAGTCCTTCATAAATGAAGTTCTTCTTTTAAAATTTCCACGACTATAGATCTTATGGTCCAAAACAAAATTTTCTGAAAAAAGGGAAAATGTTCAAAATCAAATCTACAATTTAAGCTTTCATAGACCTTACAAAGATTTTTTAATCCAATATTATGGCTCTGCCACAGCCTGAAAAAAAAAAAAACAATAAAACGCATTAAATTCGACTACGCCGAACTTTAAACACACTCCCCCATGAGATAAAGAAAGCCTCTAAAAATATGAATATCAGGATTTTGTATTTTTATCGATTGATAAAGATCTTAAAAATACCGTAATGCTACAATTGTCTGTTGCGAGTCATAAATACCAATTATGAAAAAAAAAAAACTTTTAAAAATGGGGCTAAAATCGTCAAAATATAAAATATTTGGAGGACCTGTTCCAGCAGTCTTATGCAACAGAAGAAAGAACCCATTACAGACTCTACATAACGAATGTTAAACAGTTTTCAGGAGAAGAAATGCGACTAAAATCATGAGAATACCGAATATCTAGAGGTACCGAAATATGGGGCCAAATGCAATCGTAGACATATAGGTACAATCATGGTACAATGTAATCCAGGTAGGGCACTTAAACTTTTCCAACATAGCCTACCTTCTCTTCATTGTGCCATGACATTAAAACTCTACAATTCTGAATATAGAATTTTAACAGTTCTTTTAGAAAATGTGACCAAAATGGTCAAAATACCGAATATTGGGAGGTATAGCTATATGAGGTCTATACGAAAACATGAACCGACATGGCTCCATTTATGAAGTTAACCTGTCTACTGAAAAAAATACACATGTGTGCAACATTTTAGCCATTGCTCCTTATTCGTTTGAAACATAGCGTGGCAACAACAGACAGAAAGACAGAGACAAACAGACATCGCTAAATCGACTTAGAATTTTACGCTGATCAAGAATTATATACCTTGTGGGGTCTAACAAGACTATTTCCATGCACCCTCCATATTATGAGGGCATAAAAACGTTCACAAAATTCCAGTATTTTAGCTCTAATATTCTTTGGAGACTATGTTCTCAAAATTTCCGATTATAGCTGTTATCGTTCTTTGAAAATTCGTTGCCTGCTTCTACTTGGGAAAAACATGCTTGATCTCCTTTAATAATTCTTTGAAAATATATTCTTAAAAATCCATAATTTAAGATCTAACAGTTCTTGGGAAATAACATTAAAAACTACGAATGTTTTTTTTTTTTCAAAATTCAGGGCTTTAGCTGTTGTTGTCCTCAGAAAAAAACTATCATATCCCTTAGGAAAATTTTTTGACTAATAAGGACAGTCCATATAAAGATTTTTGTTAAAGATCCCTGATTGTGGGTTCATATCTCTTGGAAGGAGAAATTTTCTTAAAAATCCATAATTGCTGATTTAAAACTACTCAAAACTATTTTTTAAATGCCGATTGAAGCTTTAGTCCTTGGAAAAAAGTTCTTAAACATCTTAAAATCTTCTAAGAAAATCAAGTTTAAAGAACTGATTGTTTGGATTAAAGTTCATAAAATCCATTAAAGTTCATAGAAATTTTAAATCCACTATAGAATGTCCTTAAAAAATTGCTGACAAAAAATCTTCGATCTTTATAGAATCCTTATCGAAAAAACTTTTTTGTTCCACGAATAAAGTTTAAAGTCTTTGGAACAATTTTCTTCAGATGGAACTAATATATGGGATGCATATCCAATTCTGAATCGATTTTAACCTTTTTTTTTTAACATTTTTATCTTTTATATCAAACAACATTGCTATAGAGTACATGATGTCACTTCGAGAAGGATTATATTAAACAAATATATATCGGAGCCTGGTTCCACCAAATGGAAACGTGTGTCAGAAATTTACTCCATTTGGCCAGTATTAGTCATTATTTGCACAAGACACCTGAAATCGCAAAAGGATATATATGGGAGCTATATTCAAATCTGAGCTGATCTCGATAAAATTTGCCAAAGGCATTTTCGAGCTCTATAAGATATCTGGTACCAAATATCATAGTTTTTGAGTGCATATTACGCATGTGTGGGACTTAAAACCCCAAATCGGATGAAACATATATATGGGAGCTATAGCTGTGTCTGAACCGACTTTCACCAAATTTTGATGTACTTCCTTCTAGAATGAATACGCTCGGATGTGCCAAAATTCAGGCCATTTGTACTGATATTGGCCACTTGGCGCACAATTAACCAGAAATCGGTTGAATATATATATGGGAGCTATATCCAAACCTGAACCGATCTTGATAAAATGAGGTGCACATTGCGAATGTGAGAAACATAAACACCAAATCAGATGAAACATATTACGGGAGCTATAGTTATATCTGAACCGATTTTTATCAAATTTGATGTACTTGCTTCTATACTGAATTCTGTCGGATGTGCCAAAATTCAGTTCATTTGGACTGATATTGGCCATTTAGTGCAAAATTAACCCGAGATCGGTTGAAGATATATACGGGAGTTATATCTAAATTTCAACCGTTTCTCACCAATTTCAATGGGGTTCCTCCTTGGGTTAAATAAAAATTGTTTGGAAAATTTCATTTTAATCGGAAAATAAATGCGACCTGCATTTTGTTCACAAAAATACATGGACAGACGGACGGGCAGACTCAAAATGTGATTCTATGAAGATCCTCAAGAATAACTATGGGTCTACCTCACTTCTTTCTCCATGTTACAAACAAATTCACAAAGACATAATACAAAGGGGAATCCTTCCTATATAATAGATATTTATTAGATATGAACTTTTATTACTTTTTCAATTAAGTTATTCAAATAATTTTTAAACACTTTATCTACAAAGGAATTTGCAAATTTGTAAAATCAGAGGAAATAATTGGGAGGTATAATTATATTTGTACTAAGTTGTTATATCCACCCATGTGTATAAACAGTTTCAGATTCTTAAAAACGCCTCGCTAATTTGCTCAAAGTTCTTAGTGCTCAGTTTCGAAAAAAATCAATTGAACTCATCGATTAATTTGGAATTCACTAATTAATATAACCACATAGACATATATTTTAAAAAAAGGTCACCATATATCAGTGCTAAATGTCTATACATTATCAAGCATTGTTTGAAGTATTTGAGGCTTCATAATCACAATATGTTGTATAGTGATTTATGTCAAACTCCAAGTAAAAAGTCTGTAACTTCATGAGATCTGCTGATATCACCACGAATATTTACATAAAACGTTTTTTTTGTGCTACGCCACTGTATGAATAAATCAATTATGTGTTTTATACGGCTTGATTGCCAATTTGTTAAATATACCTTATTATTTTAAACATTTCCAACTTACCACACATGTCCCACCTTTGCCATTCAGTTTTCCAGCACACAAATGTCCCCGATGTATTCGGACAAAGGTGCCATAGGCATCTTTGCACCTAAAAAACAAACATAAATTAATAAATACGTTCATTAAATATAACTAACCCAATCCCCTTCCCAAATAAATACCTCCTATTGTTGTGCAGTGGAACATTGGTCTTCAACAGCAAATCGGTTAAATCTCCTGTGACATTGGCTTTACCCCATCCCGTTGCCACACAATCGATATACGGCAAATCCGGATTATTATCTATATAACGATGGAAATGCTTTTGCTCCGACATTCCACCCTCACTTTCACTGGAATATTGAAATATTTTCAATATTTTATCATTTCGACGTCGTACGCTACGGCCATTGCGACTGCCTGCCAAACGTTGAGCAGCTGCCTGTTGACGCTTCAGGCGATTTGAAATTTTCAAATCCAGCAAATCCTTCATGGTTGGCATTGTTATATTACGATGTCGCCTGATATTTTGCACACTCCGCAGGAAGTTTTCCATTTTATCTGGTACTTGACCCAAATCCATTAACAAAGGATCATCCAATTCCTCCGCTTCCAAATCCTCATCGTCTTCATACTCAGTGTAAACAGGCTCATTAAACAGAAATGGTAAACATATTCTTCGTATATTCGATTTTTTAGACAGATCGGCAGGTTTTGACAGTTTCATCAGAACCAAATCGTGTAGGAAATTCTGATAACTTTTGTGGAGAACGATCTTCTCCACAGGTATCCTTTGTTCATAACCCGATTCCACAGCTCGATTGTATTCACCTAAAACTACCGTCCACAAAGGGGGTAAGGGTAAATTAAAGAGATCATTGTGAACACAATGTGCGGCAGAGAGTATCCAATATTGATGTATCAGTACAGCACCACACCAATGTCCGAGAAATCCTAATGAGGGATGCAGTAGCTCGAGAGATGCTTGCCAGGGATATTGTCCCTCTTTGGTATGACTGCCAGCAATTATTTTTGCGGTACGTGAAGTTTTCGGATCATCGAAAGGAAATCTAGATCTGGGCTCTCTTCGTGGAGGTCGTATGCCACAATCTGAAATTAGAAACAGATTAAATATAAAATAGACATTAATTTGTGTATCGATAAAAATAATTTTGAAAAAAATTATTTAAAACATCAACATTTTCAGAAAAAAAGCCGGGTTTGCCGATAAATTTTAGATTTTTTATATTCGGATGTTTGAATTTTGAAGAGAATCTGATGCTAATTTCGCATTATAAGAGAGATAGAATTATTAAAAAAATTTGACCCGTTGTGGGGAAGTGGGCAGATATCCACCACCTTCATTACAGATCTTGTTTTGTAGAAATATTGGAATGTGTAGAGTTAGAAAGGAATAATATGCTCATTTCGCGTTATACGAGCTTCATGGCTATTCAAAATGTTGACCCTTTGTGGAGAGGTACTTGATGGGATGATTCGATATTGTCCATTTTCGCACCTGACCCAGCACTGACAAAAAATATAAAATATTTGGAATATTGACACTAAATGGACTGATTCTTCCTTTTTCTATGAGGTCAATAATTTTCTTTGAAAAGTTTGACCCTTTGTGGGGAGATACCAGAAGGGGTAGACCAATGTTACGCATCTCCGGACTCGATTTAAGTTTTACAATAATATTACGATGTACCAAATTTGGACCAAATCGGACGGACCCCCCAAAATCGAGTCCAAATGCCTTTACAACGGATTTGGTCCAAAGAGACCTATCTTATAAAACCGTTATTTCTATGAGACACTTTTCACATGATATACAGGCTGAGATGAAAAAACTGCAACCAACTTCAGACTGCTGCCATTTCTTAGCCACCCGTCCGATAACGGTTAAAATTATTTCAGTGAGAGCTAATTATATTGTTTACGAGCGTATAAAAGTATTTTAGTGAGAAATTTCCAGAAAAAAAGTTATTTGTGATTGAATTCAAGCGTGACAGTGTGATTTCTTTATATTTGGCTGGAAAACCACGAGTGGCTATCGTTAAAGCACTCCAGCATTTAAATGTGAATAAATCTTTTGTGTCTCGTACCATCGCTCGTTACAGCAATACTGGTAGCGCAGCCCGACGTCAAGGAAGTGGACGGAAGAAAACAGCAACATCAGCAGAAATGGTTCGAAAAGTAAAGAAGCGACTTGATCGAAACCCGCGTCGCAGTGACCGAAAAATGGCTCGTGAGCTGAACATGTCGCTATGTTCCATTCGGCAAATATTGAAAAATGAGCTCGGTGTAAAGCCATTGAGATTCCAAAAAGTGCAAGAACTTACACCGCAACAGAAAGAAAATATATTCAAAAGAGCTAAAGAGTTTCTACGCTTGGTCGAAAGTGGTGAACTGCCGAATTTGGGTTTTTCCGGTTAGAAAACATTCATTGTCCAGTATTTTGTAAATAAACAAAATGATCGTGTTTACTTGCCAAAGAGGTCAGCTGAAAATGTGCACCTTCGGTTGGCCACCAGAACTCAAGCGCCGGCCATGGTGATGGTGTGGACGGCTGTTAGATGGTCGCTCTGCGCTCTTATTAATCGACTGTGGCATCAGAATAAATGCCGAATATCATTGCGAAAATATTGTGGAGGGTGTATGAAAGTCTTGGGCACGAAAGCATTTTGGCCGCAGACATTGGACGTTCCAATAGGAGTCAGCACCATCGCGCTCAGCACGCGATCACCTCAAGCAAGCCCTTTGCCGGGAATGGGCAAAAATACCGCAGAGCAACATTCGGGCAGCGTTTGACGGTTTCATTGGCCGTTCGAAGGCCATAATTCGTGCCAAAGGTGACCAATTTGAACAAATCTAAGCTTATTCTATCGTATTTCTACCTACGTATCTCTAATTTGATATTTTAATGGGAGTAGATCCTTTTTAGCAATGATCCATATTTTATAATAGCACCCAAGAACAAGATATAAATACGGGGAATATTTTGGTAGAAAGTTGTAACTCTCAAGCGAGCCAAGAGAGCGGACTTTTCGTCCTTTTTTTTAATTTTTGTTAAAAGTTTTCTAAACGGGATTGTAACAAGTCAAAATATTCTGCAAAATTATTTATAGTTCCTAGAAGACGTCAAAAGTTTAAACCTTATCTAAACGTCATATATATTAACAAGTAAAAAAGCAGCTAAGTTCCAGCCGTTTTTGAGTTATAAGCGGTCTCCTTAACATCCCCTTCTTTGTTATAGAGATTGTATATATTTTGTTATATATGTGATAACTTCGATATGATCATCAATTTAACGGTCAGAATTCGCTGGAATTAAAAATACTCGCGGTTGAAGGGAAATTTTCGTATTTCTTTTTTAATAAAAATTATTGTCAACTAAACCCGCTTCATGCAAAATTCCATGTCGATTGGTCTTGACTCAGCTTGGCGAGATGGGAAGATCCGTATGTAATTTCCTATGTGCAGGACCAATATTTCGAGGTGCTACCAATCAAATTTATAATAAGGTATAAATATTTTCATAACAAAGAAAAATTGGGAAATTTGACTTAAATATTTAGGGCAAAAAAGTAGAACTAAAATCACAATTATATTTAAGTGGAAGTGTTGGAGACTTGTTTCTGAGGAGCTGTCGCCAATTAATCGTGAAAAAAATGCAAAATTAACATTAGCATTAGGTATGCAAATCTGATTCCACACACTAAGTGAATAACCTCTAACAATATCCCCTCATTTAATGCTAATAACAGGTTTCTGCAGATTTTAGAATTTTTGCTCCAAACATTTTTAATTTATTGTTTAATATCAAAAACCCAGTTTTTTTATACTCTCCGACAGGGCATATTAACTTTGTCATTCCGTTTGTAACACCTCGAAATACACAATTAAGACCCCACAAAGTATATGTATACATTCTTGATCAGCATAAAATTCTATGTCTATTTAGCGTTGTCCGTCCGTCTGTGGAAATCACTCTAGCTGCCAAACGAAATGAAGTAAGTTGATAAAATTTTACTCAAATGTATGTTATGTCTGCAGGACTTTTGGTATTGAATATGGGCCATGAAGGTCCACGTTTTGGTATAGCCCCGTTATAATGGTACCTCCCTATTTTCGGTAGTTTCGTGATTTTAGAGGCATTATTCACCGGAATTGTTTCAAATTTGGTATTTGAAGTTCGTATGGATATTACAGTCTTAGACAGAAAATTTTCTGTGCAGGTCCACGTCTTCGTATAGCCTCCATATACCGGTACCTCCCGATATTCAGTATTTTGCTCAAATTTGGTATTTGAAGTTCGTAATGGATACTACAGCCTAAGACAGAAAATTTTCTGTGCAGGTCCACGTCTTCGTATAGCCCCCATATAACGGTACCTCCCGAAATTCGGTATTTTGATGATTTGAGCGACATGATTCACCAATTTTTTTTTGCAAATTTGGTATTTGAAGTTCGCAATGAATACTACAGCCTAAGACAGAAAATTGTCTGTGCAGGTCCACGTCTTCGTACAGTCCCCATATAACGGTACCTCCCGATTTTGGGTATTTTGATATATTAGTGTCATTATTCACCGGAATTTTTTTTCAAATTTGGTATTTGAAGTTCGCAATGAATACTACAGCCTAATACGGAAAATTGTCTATGCAGGTCCACGTCTTCATATAGCCCCCATATAAGGGTACCTCCCGAAATTCGGTATTTTCATGATTTGAGCGACATTATTCACCGGATTTTTTTTCAAATTTGGTATTTGAAGTCCGTAATGGATTCTACAGCCAAAGACAGAAACTTGTCTGTGCAGGTCCACGTCTTCGTATAGCCTCCATATGAGGGTACTTTCCGATATTCGGTATATTGATCATTTTAGCGTATTATCCACCGCAATTGTTTCAAATTTGGTATTTGAAGTTCGTAATGGATACTACAGCATATAACAGAAAATTGTCTGTGCAGGTCCACGTCTTCTTATAGCCCCCATATAACGGTACCTTCCGATATTGGGTACTTTGATGATTTTAGCGACATTCTTCACCGGAATTGTTTCAAATTTGGTATTTGAACTTCTTAATGGATACTACAGCCTTCGACAGAAACTTGTCTGTGCAGGTCCACGTCTTCGCATAGCCCCCATATAACGGTACCTCCCGATATTGGGTAATTTGATGATATTATCGATATTATTCACCGAAATTGTTTCAAATTTGGTATTTGAAGTTCGTAATGGATAGTACAGCCTAAGACAGAAACTTGTCTGTGCATGTCCACATCTACAGCCTCCATATATTGATGATTTTAGCTACATTATTCATCAAATTTTTTTTCAGGTTTCGCATTTGAATATTGTAATGGCTTCTGACAAAAGTTGCCTATGCAGATCCACGTCGTCATACAGACCCTTATATAATGGCTACAAACGGTATTTTTAAGATTTTAACAGAATTTTTAACGGATTTTATTTTTTGAAAATTGCGAAATTGGTTTCAAATGTTGGAGGGTATTAAAAGTTCGATCCGGTCGAACTTAGAGCTTTATTACTTGTTTTAATTAATGTGTCTATATTAATAATTTTTACCCATAGAAGTTTCTATATTTATCTTAAAAATCAATTTTTTTCGGGATTTTAGGAATGCAATCAACCACTAATCGTCAGTTATTTAATGCTGATAAGAATAATTATAAATAATTTAAAAATAGAATTATTTAATGTTAATAACCATAAATCTTACCCGTGGCAAATTGATTCGGCTTGTAGTATTGTGAGACAATCGAGGGTGATGATCCGGTTGTTGCGATCCCATTAATGACGACGGTGCACAACAAGAGAAAATGAAAGTTGACACGCATCTTCGAACATCATTAATGCCTCCAATTCATTTGTGAAACAACAACAACAACGACAATTAACGACAAGTTTGAAGGCAAAGCAAATAATTCGCAGCAGTTAAATAAAATATACGAAAAGCTTGAATTTCAACGGAATCTGGTGTTACTTCATATCCGTGTTAGCGTATTTTTTTTTTCTTTTAATTTTGCAGATAAGTGCTCCGCTCCACAATTCTTTGTGTGGTATTGACAGAATTATTATTTAATTTCACTGGCGTCTTTGGTTACACTTTCACGTAACGGCGATGGGGATATATACTTAATCTGACATTGTTTATTGTTGTTGTGATGTCGATTATGAAGATGATGACAAGCTAAGTAGCAGATGATGACAGCTTTAATAAAAGTCTCTTTGTTATATTGTATATGGTTTTTGCAGAATTTACTTAAATTGTCATGTTTGTTTTATTTGGGGTTTCAACTTGTTTTGGGTTCATAGACAGCGATTTCGAGTTGTGGGTTGGATGTTTTGACTTTTTCTTTTCGCTTTGCCTCTTTCGAGTTAACTGGGCTTACAAGCTGTAATTACGCTGATCTACATGCACAAATTTAACAAAGAATGCCAAAATAATAAAAAGCGTATTGTGATGCTATGTTATGCTATGCTGAGCTATATAATATAACACCATAACATAATTACACATAGACACACTCTCACTCACTAACAACAATAGCAACAACAGCAATATAGCGCTTTAATTATAAACTACCGAAAAGAAGAAAGGTTTACATTTTTGGTAGGTATGTCTGAATTTCTGTTTTGTTTTGGTTTCGTTGTGTATTTTTGGGTGGCGTGTAACTTTAGCCATTAATCACTGGCAACAGACAAACGATGAACTTTAAATTATATAATTGTCCAACATTTGTTCTATAAAAGATGGGAAGGGGGGCAACAAATTATAACAAAACATGATATTTTAATAGGGGAGCACAGGGGTTACATAAGAAAGTGTTATAATCGGATCTATCAGCCATGTAGGATCCTTTACCTCTACTCCTGAGATAAATAATAAATTCTTAGTTTAATTTAAAAATAATCTGATAAGATCTGATGATAAATCAGCCGCTGATCTTTTATTTAACTATATTTTGACTTGCGTTATGATTTTGCAAAATATAGACCCTTATATAGTTTGGTCTGGTTTGAGGTTTCAAAGGAGTGGGCCAATGTATCTGACCTAAGTCTCATATAAATTTGCCACATTTGGGCTATAACGACTACTTCATTCACCTTTGCATGAGAAATTTAGTATTTTTTTTTTTTGAAAATTAAGAAATGTGTGTGAGGTATGGGCGTGAGTGGACCGAAGTATTCCACTTCATCTAATATTGAAAAAAATATTGGGATGAGAATCTAACATTTATTTCCAAGTTTTTGCGAATAATTTATCAAAATTTAAACCTTTTGTAGGAGAGGTGCCAGAAAGAGTAAACCGATGCATTCTATATTCTCATTAGATTCCAGGTTAACAAGTTTTAAAAAAATCACTGACTTGTTTCGCAAATTATATAATTCAATTATATAAGTATTGAAAATTGTGATGCTTTGTGGGAGAGATTCCAAGAGGGGTGGACCGATATCTATCATCTTCATGCCCTATCTTGTGTTAATAGAAATATTAGGATGTATGAAATTTGAAGGGAATGGGAAGTTTGCTTTGCATTTATAATTGTTTCGGTTATTCAAAATGTTGACCATTTGTGGAGGAGGTACTAGAAGGAGTTTACCCATATATTGCATATTCACGCCAAATCTAGTGTTTATAAAAATATTGTGATGTGTGAAATTTGTAGAGAATCGGATGCTTATTTCTCGTTTTATGAGCTTCGTGGTTATTCCAAATTTTGACAATTTGTGTGGGAGGTACATGTTGGAGTGGACTGATAATTTCCATATTCGCACCTGACCTAGAATTGATAAAAATATTGGGATTTGCAAAGTTTCCGCATAAAATGGGATCATCCTTACTTGTTCTATACGAAAATTATTTTCTCTAAAAAATCAAAAACGTGGACCTATACAAACAATGTTCCGTCAATGGAGCTAGAACCCATAACAACAGCACATACCAATTTTTTAAAAAATTGGTGGAAAATGTGGCTGAATCCATCAAAACATATTTTATGGGGTCTGTGACGAATATTTAGATGTGTTACAAACGGAATGACAAATTTAATATAAGAAGGGTATATTAAATTTTTCATTCCGTTTGTAACAAGGTGGAGGGTATAAAAATATATGTCTGCATTGCCGAGATAATATAATAATATTGAGCCTTTATGAATGAGATATTGGCATTATATTGGTATGCGTGAAGTTTGATGAAAATTGAGTGCTTATTTCGCATTTTATGAGAGTATAATAATTAACCAGTAAAGAAAGTCTTAAAGTCGGGCGGGGCCGACTTTATGATACCCTACACCACTTTGCTAATTTAGTAGAGCTTCGCATAACAATTAAAAGTTTTTATGGGAAAATTCAATCATACACGCTATGATTATAATTATAATTTAAAGTTCAAAGGACTAAATATGCCGAAGCATTTGTATCTTTTAAATTCGGAATCGTATTGCCCATTTGGTGCACAATTAATTTGAAATCGGATAAAGATATATATGGGAGCTATATCCAAATCTGAACCGATCTCGATAAAATTTGGCAGACATTTCTGAGCTGTATTTGATATATTTCCCTGAATATCGTTGTTAAGGAGTGCGTATTACGGCTGTGGGTAACAAATACAACAAATCGGATGAACAATGTATATGGGAGCTATAGCTATATCTGAACCGATCTTCGTCAAATTTGACATACTAGCTTCTAGACTCAATTTGATCGTAAGTGCCAAATTCCATCCCATTTGGACAAATATTAGACGTTTGGTGCACAATAAAAGGTAAATCGGACGAAGTTATATATGGGAGCTATATCCAAATCTGAACCGATCTCGATAAAATTTAGCAAATGTATTTCTGAGCTGTATTTGATATATTTCCCCAAATATTGTTGATACAGAGTGCATATTACGGCTGCGGAGGACAACTATAACAAATTGGATGGACAATATATATGGGAGCTATATCCAAATCTGAACCGATTTCGATCAAATTTGGCATACTTACTTTCAGGCCTAATTTGGTTGTATGTGCAAAATCCCATACTATTCGGGCTGATATTACACGTTTGGTGCACAATAAAAGGCAAATCGGACGAAGATGTATATGGGAGCTATATCTAAATAGGGTTCGTCCTTGGGCCAAACAAATGATTTGTGCAAAATTTTATCTGGATAGGGCAATAAATGGGAACTGTACTTTGTTTACAAAAATACATGGACAGACGGACGGACGGACATGCATAAATCGACTCAGAATGTGATTCTATGCAGATAATCAAAAGGAACTATGGGTCTATCTCGTTTCCTTTTGCCTGTTACAAACAAATGCACAAAGACATAATACCCTGACCACCTTGTGGTGTAGGGTATAAAAATTTGAGCCCAGTTGGAGTGGTCCGACATATATATTTCATCTTCACTGTTGATCTTGTGCTGGTAGAAATATTGAGATGTGCTAATTTGAAAATGATAATCGGATGCTAATTTCGGGTTTTATCAGCTTCATGGGTCAAAATTTGGGCCCTTTGTGGGGGAGGTACCAGAAGGAGTAAATCGATTAATATCAATTTCATTGGTCAACCGGATTGAGCTAGACTCAGAAATTTGAAACGAAGGTCGCTGGTAGAAAATTTTAAAAATTCGAACTATAACTGTAGTGTAGTGCAAATTTGGAACCAAATTATGCGGTAATGCTAAAATCTTGACATTTGGTGTCAGAACTAATTCCGGGGTGGATGTGGTTTTGGAAATGTGTAATTAGTATAAGAACCGTTTTAAACGGTGCTATATTTAATACAATTAGCTTTTGGGCGAATGAATGGAACTGGAAATTTGAAATGTTGGTCACTGCTGGTGGAAATGCGAACTACAATTTTGTGAAAAGTACTAGATAGTACTTTATTTGGTACAATTTGTAAACAGATAGAGCTTGAAATCTGAAATTTGTTAGTAGGATCATGTGTAATTCGGATATATGGAGGTGGTACCGCAAAGTGGGCTATAACTGTACGAAAATTACTAAGTGATACTATATTTGGTATTTCCCGAAGGGATGGTGGTAAATTTCTGAAATATGGCACTTATATTACTGATGTTATCTGTGTGGTTTGGAAATGCGTCCTATGTTTGAACAAAAATACTTAATGGTACTAAATTTGGTATATACTTTTGTTATGTACTTAAATTGTACGAAATGTACTAAATCTTAATAAATTAGGCATTTGTTGAACGACAAGCACTTGAAACATGAAATTTGACAATGGGGTCACTTTTTGTGCTGCGGAGTTATTATTTGGCGACGGTTTTAGAAATATGTAAAAAAGTACAAAAAGTAATAAATTGTACTAAATTTTATATTTAGGCGAATGAGTAGAATTGGAAATCTAAACTTTGGTTGGTCATTTATGGAGGTAGACTTGTTAATACCTACCAAAAGATACGAAAAATACAAAATGGTATTCATTTTGGTATTTTGGAGAATGGATATATCTGGAAATTTAAAATTTAGTATGAAGGTCTTGGGTGTTGTGTGGGAAAGCTGTACCAAAGGATTGTTTGGAAATTCAAACAGAAGGTAAGTATAACACCTATGTTAAAAGTGCTAAGATATACTAATATCTGAAAATTTGTAATAAGAAGTAAGGTTGATGTACAAACTGTACTAAATGGTACAATTTGAGTTTGGGTGAACGGATGGAAATGTGAAATATTACTTTTTAGGTTACTGCGGTTGGGTAGAGAGGAAATGAAGAGGTGGTTTTGGAATTGTGTACTAAAAGGAGGAAAAGTATTATATATTATTTTTCTGAAATGGCTGAATAGGTAACTTTTGAAGCTTGGTATGAAAATCAAGTTTTGAAAGTAGGAATGATATAGGGAGGTGGTTTTGAAAATATATACTAAACGAAAGAACTGTAGTAAACGATATTAAATTCGGTAATATGTGGTTTTGGATGTATTGATAAAGGCGTAATTTTGAAATTTAGTACACAATACGTAAAGGAATAGTACTAAATGTTACTGAATTGGGTACATAGTGTAGGAATAGAGCAAAAATTGTGTAATTTACAGTACTATAACATGTACGAAAAGTACTAAATGGAACTAAGTTTGATATGAATGTAGAAATAGAGCTGATCTTGTGAATTTTGTTATGAGTTTAACTATGGGTTAGTCAATTAACAGTGTCAGGAAAAGCGTGTTAAATGGTGTACGAAACGTACTAATTCCGTAAGTAGTGTAGGAATAGAGCTCGAAATATAAATATTGGTAGCATTTGAATCACGTAATATTTTTATCAAACTTAGATCGAGTTCGGAGATGGGCAATATCGGTTCACTTTTTCTGTTACCTTCCCCACAAAAGGTCAACATTTTCACGGAAAATAATTTACAAACTTAGCAAACTTTGCAAATCCCAATATTTTCA